GTTCGTCCGATCTCCTACTAGCAGCCAATGCAACACATGAACTATTACAATAAACAACATTCACCAAATATCATACCACGTTGTATAGTAAGATGTACATGCACATCTGTGCATGGTTTCCGTCATGCATAACCCGATGGTGTTCAAGAAATCTCGACCGGTTTCGTTACCACTATTTACACTTGGAAAACAAACTAAGGATTTCATCAGAACACTGCCTTTCAATCACGTCATGTGAAAAAGGAAGTCAGTGGACATTTATTCCATATAAGTCCTAATCATAGGCTAACATGTATAAAGTGATGTTTTAAGCACCTTGGAACTTCTTAAAAAGAGAACCCGTTAAAAAGGTGGACGGATTTCAGGCCGTGTGTAAAATGTATAACATATGTAGGCATTTCAAACGGCTTGTGATCTGTCTCGCATCGGAGAACTTTTAAACGACAAAATAAATGAAGTAGAATGGTTCTGTTCAATGCTACAACACATGGATGAAAACAAACTACAACTATAATAAATGATCACAGCCGTACTGTTATATGAAGTAACTTAGCACAATTTCAGGCAGTTGCCTAATTCGACGAATGAATCCGTTAATATCCACATACAGGGACAGTAATACGTACGTATATTGATCTGCCAAGGCACTTTACGCCAACAAATGGGTGTATCCAGGGTGCGTTAGAATGGGTAAGATAAATGTACTAACTACTTCTTTATTTACAATGAAGAGCGACGTTTCTTTGTCGATTCTAGCACCGTTATCAACAAGTGATTCCCAGGGTGGTGTGGGGATCCATCCCTGTTGTATACAACACATCCCTGGATATGAAGTAAGATAAGAGACTATTAAGACGGTAATAAATAAGATAAGAGACTCATAAGTCGATAATAAATAAGATATGATAAGAGACTATTAAGACGGTAATAAATAGGTTAAGAGACTAATAAGTCGATAATAAATAAGATAAGATACTAATAAGTCGATAAATAAAAGATAAGATAAGATACTAACAAGTCGATAATAGACTTTAAACACTTCTGTACAAAACGAAATTACGTGGTCTAAACATATAGTTATATATAAGATTCTTGAGAGGCATTTAGAAGTTGGTGAATATACAAGACGAGTATGTTGATCCTGATTGGCGATGGAGATTAACCCCAGAGATTAATAAAGATCAAGGCGTATACCTCCCTAGTGCCAGGAACATCACAAAAGCCGCACCACACCCACCTCTATTGTCACTTAATTAGCTGTATATCACTCTGCTGTATCCACATCTCCTTATACTCATTCTTTGTGTCAACTGGCTTTATCTTATCTCATTATCATTGTATTTATAACTTCTTTTCATCTGGCCTCATTAATATGATTGTATATACATGTACATCTCTGGCTTCCTGTAAATCTAATTGTCACTTAATTAGCTGTATATCACTCTGATGTATCCACATCTCTATATTCTCATTGTTTGTGTCAACTGGCTTTACCTTATCCCAGTTATCATTGTTTTTATAACTACTTTTGATCGGCCCCTTTGTGGTTGATTGTATAAACATGTACATATCTGGCTTCCTGTAAATCTGGTATATATAGTTTGTTTTCTACATCTGTCTTAAATCACCTGAAGAAGGGGCAAGAAGTAGCCCAGAAACGTTGTGATATACAATAAACAAAAGTTGCGATCCATATACTCGGCTTATATAGCTATATATACTAACCTAATTTTCAGAGGGCGCCTGTGATATCACAAAACTGAAACTTCCCTTCGGAATCCAAAGTAATGAAATGATTCTGTGTTCATGATGTTCCGGTATTTATATAGTTTTATTCAACTGCATAGTTGGGACAGAAGAGGAATGTCATTTTGTCAAATCTAAAAGTAAGATTAAACTCACCCGGGTTCCACTTAAAAGCCCATTTCTTCCCCGCCCATTGCTAAAAGCTGCAACCAAACTCCGGTCAGTCAGTCAGCAATGCAACATAACCAAATACCATAGGAGACATCCGGATTTTTAATCTGGATCACTGATTTTGTCAGCTTCAAGATGAGCTTGACTACGTAACGAACATCCCACCATGGGACAAAACCGCTGTCACGATTAGTGCTCATTTACAAAGTCATCAGCAGCTGTATGGTTTCTTTCGGCGCATGCGTAATCAACACGTTCTCAAGGAAGCTCTAAACGTTGGAACAATGTACTGAGTTTTAACAGATTGCTCGGAATGCATTCATTATTAGACATATATCCTACCTCACAACGAGCCCTACGTGTCGTTAGGATGTGCCACTAACGGTAGGATATTAACAGGATGTTTATCAGGAACAGGTGCCTAATCATTAGGATCCTCCAGGTGTGTTTGGCTGGCAAGTACTGGTGCATGACCGTAGGGATCGTAAACGGGCATTTGATCGGAAAAGGGATCCACGGGCCAAGGATAGGGTTGAATGTTACTTTCTCAAACCTAAACACAACTAACCCTGGACATGAAAGAGATCTGTGAAGTGAGATCAAGTCATCAGTCGGAGCCAGTTATTACCAGCGCTACAGTAAGCCGTTAAATGCACATTTGCCACGATTTCAGCATCTCGACTATAAGTACTTTTGCCAAACTACCCCCATTCATGATATTACACGTGGACCGGCCAACAGACAAACTAGGCTTAAAGGTTAGTCAGTGTTAGCAGGGCATATCAAACTGTTTACGGACTTACCTTGACAAACGGAGCCTTTTAAACATACAGCGGCCAGCATGACAGTCACTGCACTCAAGAATGCACATCTCTTATCCATTATATACAGGAAATGGACTCTTTATACGTATCTAAACAACTCACACAACCTTCCAGGGTCGATGTGGCTTATCAGAAAGATCACGCCATAATAAAGGGACATAATTCAAATTGTTATAAGAACACTGTTATGTGTTGAGGTTACACTGCACTAAATGTTATCCCATAAACCTCTAAAGTAACGTTATATTTTGTTTAAAATTCATCCAGCTGTATACAGTCTTTCCATGTTCACAAGGGTACAGTCTGGCCTTTAAACTACAATACAAACACACATGTTTACGCACGCTACTCGCTCAGGAAGCATGTGATTCTGATTTAGTGTTGTACAACCTTGATGCTCTCGTAAAAGATCGAAATGACAACATCTTCAATGACCTAAGGGGATCTTATGATTTCTCTTATGTGTGCGATCTGATTGGCTTTGTTAAGTGTCACAAACGACCCGCAGACCTGTCAGGTAGTACCGCTGGTAAATTTAAAAAGTTAGTTGCAGGTACCCTGATATTAATTACGAAATAGCGAGGCAATACTAGATTGCTTAAATGATTCAGATGCTAACGGAATATACGCATAAGCTTACAGTATACGTTAAAAGAACAAACAAAGATATATTGCATACAAGCAATTTAATTTTAAGCTGTTTTTAAAAAGTGGTTGGAAACGGCTATTAAACATTGCATCCCAGAACAGGTGCGAAATTGCATCCCAGAACAGGAGCGAATCTCTTACTTACTATTCTACACTGGCACCGATTTCTGGGTTAACGAATTACGACATGAAATGTGTGTTATCTGTGTGGAGTCCTTGATTTGTGTCACCAAGATTCACATTTGGGAATTCATGGCAACAGTTCGCACTTCAACTAAATATTCGAATGGTAGAACGGCAGACCTGGCTGTCCAGTCAGCTTCAGAGGAGAACGATTTCAAATTATCTGCTTAGTGGCCTACTCTTGCGAGTATAAACCGTTTAATATCGAAGTTTATATGCAATTTTTAAAATTTTACTTTTGTACCATGTCATGCCATGTTGAGGAGAGCCCGTTGCTATAAAGACTTATATACGTTTGAGCACGTGACAGGTGTTAACAAACACTAACACGGAATAACCGACGATATATTTGGACACAGGAACAATGCCAGAGACATTGTTCACCCCGTTATGGGACTTAGATAAATATTAAGGCATAGATCAGAGAACAATTTCAAGTTGCAGAGCACATGGAATTGGTCTTCTCAACTGTTTGCATATGAATAAGGGGTCTCCTTCATTCAGGATTCATGCCGGAAGCTGACGTCCCCATGACCCCTGTAAAGTGGCCCAGCTTTGGTTGCTGGTTGTCCATAGCCCGTGTTTAATATCCTTACAAAATCTTATCACGTGTCATTACAATGAATGATTAGTGCACATGATCATTTTCCGGATGGAAGAGAAGCATAAATATTTCTTGCTTCCAACCGCGGTATAGATTTGGTCGTGACAATTGTGCACCATCTTGTCATCTGGACATTTCCATCTTGTTGATTAGTTGTGTGATTCCAAGATATCACCCTGTCACAATATCACAACAGTGGAATTATGGAAGCCTGATGGCAAATCAATAGTTATATCAGCCTTAATAGATTTGGTATTACTTTGCTCATAAGTTTCTTCAGTACTCTTTCTTCTATGTCTTTGTTGCAGTAAAGACCTATACAAGGCGCAAATATTGTGGATCCCTGTCACCGACCTTATCGTGCAATACGCACACACAGGCCACAGACTCACCTGTGTGCAGAAATACTACATGAGCGACAAAACGCGTGTCCATGACGCTAGATGATAGGTCGGAGATGCTGTACAACTCTGAAGCTGGTTATGCAAGAGGTGATTCCAGCTGATGTCTGTCAGTATTGCTTTGTAGCAGTTGGACAACTGATAAATCTAGTAACCTTCATATAGTCTGATCCTGACAGCTATGTATAGCTACTTATAAAGGGTTATACTGCAAACTGTGTTCATCCGTTTAAATAGCAAAGGACACACGTAACAGTGACGGAAACAAACTCGTTGTCTGAAAAAAGGTGACACGACACAAACCCGCATAGTCGCCTTTTGCTCCCAATTGGTGTCTGGAAAGATGATTGTTCCACACTTCAATGGGACCATAATGAGTGGGTGATCTGTAGCACATTTCATTTGCGTTCAATAAGACTAAGGTCTCATGGCAACAGAATGAGGCTGTTCGATATTTCCCAATAGTTGAAGTCTGATTATATTGCATCAGTGCACACAGAGAATGTCGTCACTATGGGGCTCACCTGTCATCATGTAGAACAGGAGATCGCTTCTGTGACCTCTACTGATCCCTCTCCAAATCACGACGGAGTCCCGTCCTTAGCGGTTGTGGCATTATTGAAAGATCGGATTTCTATTGTGGTAGTTCTATTTATGGAACCATGTTACCACATAATCACCAAACGGATGTGTGAAAATATTTTTACTTACAATGTGATACATTTAACGTTAAATATTCTACAAAGAAGAGATCTGAAAAGGCATGATACAAAATAAACAAATAAAAATATAGTATTATACAAATGATTTGACGTTCACTTGATTGTTTTGGTTTCTCAAAGTAAATGTGCATGTATCAATGATACTGATCTTGCAAACACAAAATAATGAAAAGTTGAGAAAACCAAAGAAGATGTGTTACTGCAAAGCAAAGGAATGCAGTACGTTAACCTTGTTTCGTGATCAGCACCTGGCTCCAATATCATGATGTTTGCTGGTGCTTCGTTAAGTGTGTCCATGCTCGGGACCTGAAAATTACAGAACTAAAGGTAATCACACACATATGTGATATGAACTGTAATATCATAGATATCATAAAGTACGTTACATTTTAACAGGAGGCTGAGCACATGTTTAGGATTACGCCGATAACAATTCGTGAACACTGTTGATCCATGGCGATGACACAAGATCCCAGTCAGCAAGATTGTTCCTTGTGTTGGTTACCTTGAGAATGTGCCCCAGTGTTCTGGTATGGCGGGGAACTGATGGACTCATAGGTCACAGGAGGAGTCTCGGTCACGCCTTCATAGGTACTTGTATCTCCTGCAGCATTCTCTGAAGATGAGATCCATTACATATTTCATCAATAAACTCAAATTGTAACGCCCTTCTTACCAGCAGTTCAATAATCTAACCTTTCCCATGAATTCAACTTAGTACAGAAAAGACCAACATCTGCACCTAACTTTTGTATTCTGATAAATCTTCAACTGAGAGTAGTGTCGCTTTTCTGATTCCTCCTCCAAATTGGAATACTGAGCTGGACCGTTAATTTGATCTGAAGCAAATACATATGACAAGATAGTAATTATTTTGCTACTGAAACAGACCCAGGGATAATGATAATATCAACACAATGAGTGAGTGAGTGAGTTACTATTTAACGTCACATCGGCAATATTTCAGCCATATCGTGACGACCAACACAATGAACAACCCGACACCAGTACATACCTAATGATGAATATCCTCTGTTGTCCATTTCCACAGGTTAGGGGTTATCCTGTTAAACACACAAAAACAATGCCTGCTGCAACAATATTACAAAGATCGACTCTGGCAGAACATTATAGTTGTAAGTTCCTAAGACGATTTATCAGGGAGTATGTGTATTTGTTATCTCTTTACCATATTTCATAATTTCGTTACATTGCTATGCAAGTATTCAACATTGCCGATCCACTTCCTGGAAAACAAAAAATAGCCAGATGGGATGGTATTTAGTTTATAACACACACCCTTCATGGAAACAAGTCGCATTGATCGAAAATGAATTTAAAAAAAAAAGATAAATGCAGCAGTATGCCACAAAATGAATGTAGTACGTAATAATCGCAACATTTAACATGTATTTTGTTAGTGAAACTAAATCTTGTTTTGTGAATACCAATTGCAAATGTATCGTAAAATAGAAATCCTAATGATATGATATTTCTTTCAAGCATATCACTCAAAAGTATGGAACAGCAATTGGAGACTATATTGGTTGACCTTGAATAGCTTGCATCCTTATACAACTCAAATGTAACCACATACCTTTAACATTTCTGCACCTGCCAGCTTTTATGTAGAGTACCATGAGTACAATTCCCACAATGAGCAAGGTGATGAGTATCCCGCCTACCACCGCTCCTGCTGTTACTCCAGTACTAGTAGATGGAGTTTCGAGTTTTTGTTTGTGGATCTACAGTTTAACAGAAAAATCATAACAGACGATTACTTATCGCATGTCACCGTATCAGGTGAAAGGGTGACAGTGATCAGTAGACTTGTGTCCAATCACACAGAAAATATGTATAAAACGTGGAACGCTGACTTCTAGTTCTATTCAGACTGATATTGCTAACGCAGATACACAAGTTTACACTCAGAATGCAGTATTCTTTCACGGTGCACACAACATGATATGCGATACTGTGGTAGTACTTTACACAGACACAAGAGCAGTTACTGTTCATTAAAATCCATTGCCGCTGGATTTCAAAAAATAATCGCATCCCAATAGTGCTATTAAAAGTTAAAATAAATTCATTAAAGAAATGTTTGGCAACTGGGGATGATGAGTTATCAATATGATTTAACTGACACGTGGGCAATGTATGGTTCTCCTTGAGTCCACATGATTCAGTTTCAGATGCTACATTAAAGTCCATATCCCCATATTCATTTTAGCAAGTAGTCGGAAAGAAATAAATCTCTCAGATATAAGGCCCATCTTTACGCCACCACCATCCTGCTCAATATCCCCATCATCCAGTCAGAATTGTGCACAGTCCATTTCTTCTTCACCAGATTGATTCGAATTGCAATACACAGTCCATCACTTTCTTGTACCAGATACTCAATCAGAAACGTCTGAGGCGTCCACCATTGAACCCAGGCAGCCACGACCACCATACCGACGACGTTGTTGCACTGCCCAGATCTCTAAACTGTGAAGGTATCTGTGGTGGTCCTTACAACAAATTAATACGAACGTTGTCATGTTGGAATGTTCAAGTGCCATAAAAATGGAAGTAATGATCAATCATCAAACAAAAATAGTTGTGAACTGGGGATGTTTTTATGACAGGGTTTATGCATTTGTCTCTATGTCGACTGTAATTGAGCCTCGTCGTGACTAAAACAACTCGCAGTGGGTGAGTATGGGTTTACGCTTTTAGCAATATTTCAGCAATATCATAGCAGGAGAAACCTAAAATGAACTTCCCATATTGCATTCATGTAGGGAATCCAGCCCAGACGTTCGGCGTGACGAGCGAACGTTTTAATCATTAGGCTACCCCAGTCCTGAACTAGAAAGTAACAGTTAAAGGTCACATGCAACGTAAAACACAACTTTGCAGATTCTGATACCTTTCGGTATGGACTTACCGAAACAAATCATCAAAAATGCAAATTCAACTTATAAAGTTGAAAATTAACGCGATGAAAAAACCCGCGCGAAATCGGAGTTCAAACGATTCACTAATTTTCCCCCAGCGCTTGGGGGAAAAGTGGTTTCAACAGCTGGGCTGCGCTCATAGCACATGCGCAGTGAAATAGGTTCGCGCAGCTTGGAAGCAGGTTGTCCGGTGAATACTCGGTGAAGGCTTTGGTGTGAGCTATTTTTCTAATGTTTTGTTGATATTTCACAGGCGCGAGCTTTTTATATGTTATGACAGTAGATTAACGATTTAACTGTTTATATAATTTCATTTGTCTATTTCACCACACGTTCTTCTTACCGAGTCACTTTCTCAGTTCGATACTTAAAAGCAATGTCATTATTTAGCGTTGACAGAATTTCTAACTGTCATATAGATATGTCGTTGTCACAGACAAAACTCAATGTCTGTTTTTGAAAGCTATGTCTCTGTCCTTAAGATCTGTGATGTATCACATCACAGTATTACGCTGATGTGTCATTCAAGATTCTAAATTATTGATGGTACTAGTGTTTTCATAGAAATAACATCGTATATTTGTTATTATGTTACTAGTTTGCAAGTTCGATTATTTTTCAAGGATTCAATTATTTTGCAAACTCAACTTTTATTGGTCAGTTGTGTGAAGGATCAATATTGTCATAAACAATCACAAAAATTCGTGTTCGAGAGAAAGGTTCTCAAGCAGTTATAATGTATGTATAAATGTAATCCTCCCAACAATCTGAATTGGAATTTATGGTGTTCAATAATTGCTGATTTTGATATTGTTTTAAGTTTACCATCAGATCTGATTTTTCAGTCAATATATGGTTTAGGTGTTTAAAATATAGTGAATGCCAGATTTAGACCTTACCTTTTCAACATATTGGATACATTGACTCACGTGAACTGATTTGTAAAACATACCTTTGCCTCAATTGCCGTTCACTTTGTGAAAGCTTCGATCTTTAAATGCTTCAAAGTTATTGACTTCCTGAATATTGAAAGAATAGTGCTCTTTTCCTCGCCGTCCTAGCCTGTTACCAATCGACGTTCAACCATGAATTGTTGTCATTTGGGAAATTATAGAAGACTAAAGCACGCTCTCATAGGCTATGAAGTTTAGCTCATAAGGTAAAAAGCAATTTTATAGGTCTAAGAAGACCAGTAGAAAGAAACAGGTTGAAATTGATACGTGCACATATATAAAGGCGAGCTTGATGAATGAGGAACATCAGATGAAGCGTTCGTCAAAGCGTTCGCCATGGACTACATATATATCAACCATCCAACAACCAATAACTTGTTTGAGTGGCATTTTCGAACTAGAGACGTACAATATAGAACAATTTTTTTATGGATAACAACTTCTTTATTTCGTGAGTGCGACGTTTCGATACAGATTCTTGTACCGTTGTCTACAATCGGCTGACTCAAAGTCTATATGTGGCTGTCAGAGATTCAGAGAGCAGTCCTGCTTGACAACGGTACAAGAATCTGTATCTAAACGTCGCACTCACGAAATAAAGAAGTTGTTATTCATAAACAATTCTACATCAACCCATCAACCCATAAACCCATCCACTCATCCATTCATCCTCCCATCCATAAACCTATCCATACAACTATTCACCAATGCCTCTAAAAGCAGAAAATGAGTTATTAAAATCGGCCACTCACCTGCAGGTACTATGCTGACTGTGTATGTCACTGACCCGCCTACACCGTTGTCCACTGTCAGACTGTAGTCCCCGAAGTCCTGCTGCTGGAGGTTAGTAAGGTGTAGTCTGGCAGTGTCTGAGATGTCTGAGACAGGGCTGGAGGAACCAGTGAGGTCCTGGCTGGTGCTGATGGATCTACTCCAGGTGAATGTAGGAAGGGGGTAGGCCAGGACTGACACAGAC